TTTGTCCATCATGAGTAATTGGCAATGCTGAAGAAATGGATGGACAGAGCAACAGGCAGAAGAAAGCAACAGGAGAAAAGGACTTTTTCTTACATTCTTCTAGTTAATACAAACAGTACATGCTAGGACCACAGCCAGGACTAAGATCCAGGATGATACTGTGCTGGATTCCTAAGCAGCTTCCATGAAGAAGTAAACATATCTCAGTCTGAAGAATGTCTGGCACCTCCATGTTTTGTCACGTTTTAGATTCTTGCAGATGAGCAGTCTTCAGATGTTTGTAAGAGGCTATTTAGGTGGCAGGTCACTAAAAGTGTTTTCAGTTCTTTAAGATGCATCATAGAGAAAGAATTGAATTTCACAGGAGAAATGACAGTAAACTAGCACTTTCCAAACTTTGCAGTCTTAGACACACAGGCACATTTGCTTGCACACACTAAAGAACATTCCCAATTTCATGGGCCTTTGAAGAAAATCCCATTTGTCTTCAATACCTTTTAATAGAAGACACAAATCAAGTGCAAAGTACAAAGGTACAAATCAATATAGAAACTTCCAGAAAATCGAGAAGCCAAGACTGGCACAAAGGTTTACACAGCTCTCAATTACAAAGTATTGTTGTTGCTCTTCATCTTTTTCCTACTTATTATCACTGAATCCCAGAACAGCCCAGGTTGGAAGGGACCTTGAAAGATTGACCTGCCCAACCCTTTGTGGGAAAGGGAGCCTGGATGAAATTATTCAGCATCCTCTCTAACTGGATGTTGAAAACCTCCAGCAATGGGGACACTACCACATCCCTGGGCAGGTTGCTCCAGTGAATGATTGTTCTCACTGCTAAAATGTATCTTTTGTATTTTGAGATGACACCTCTCCCTGTCACATATATTCAGTTGTACGGTGCTGCCTACACTCCTGGTCCAAAAGTGTCACATGTGACTGAGTCAGAAAAAACATGAGAATAATCTCAGCTCAAATCAATGGTACAAACTGGGGAAATGTCTTAAGATGCTCTTGCACTCCCACTGCTTTTCTCTTACAGAATATACAGCAGTAGGAATAAATCCATTTTCTGGCACAGAGGCTTGAAATATCTCTTCCCCTAATATTTATTACTAGTTCAGCCAGTATGAACATCAAGTTTTAGTAGGCAAAGAAATGTAAAAACCAAAAATATAAGCTTGGTCTAAGATACAATGGGTGACCTCCCCCCCTGAGATATTAAAACCTTGAAAAAGGCCACATGACTTCACAGCTCTGAAAGTTATTTCACACTGTATTATTTCCTGTGTGTACCTAGTGAACTCAATCTCTAACAGAAATTCCACAATAAGGTTGCCTTAACAACAAAGAGATAATATATATCATTACAAGTTTTCATTCACTATGGCTAGATTCTCAATCACAGATGCACATATCAAAACAAACTACTTTTGATTCTTGTCTAGCAAATTTTGTAAGAAACCTACTTTCTTTTCCACAAAGCACAATCACTCACTACAGAAACAGACAAACTTCCAATCAAAGCTTCCACTCTCTACTTTGAAGAGACAAACTGTACATTTTTTTTTGCCTCTAAACCTGCAAGTTTTCCTTATGCTGTTTTGCTGCACCACAATTATGCCTTTAACCTTGGCAGGTCATACCTTGTCCTCCCATTGTATGCCTTGCAGAGCAGGACTAAGCAGGGAAAGCTTCCCAATATTGAATCCTGGGAGTACAGGTAAGTAAAGGAACATGACAAACAGTTCTTCCAACACCCAAACCCCAAATTTTCACCTCAGCATCCCTCTTCCCTTTGAAGATCTCAAGCTCAGTTTTGCCTAAGGCATTGAGATTTGATAACCATTATGAAACTTTATCTAGTTTGCTTGTTTCTCTTTATCAATTCAATTAAACTGAATACCACCTTTGCATTAATCCTATTATAGTTATTAGAACTGATCTAAAGAAATTAAAACTTGATAAGCTGAGGAAGCAATTGTTGTCTTACAGACAATGCAGATACCTGCTTTTACTTGTTGACTGAAATAGCTGTTTTCATTCAATCATTCAACAGTTTGGATATGGCTGGATACAGCTGCTAAATGCTGATCTAAGATCTCTTTCAAGTGTTTCTACCAAAACCAGTAACACCAAAGCTGGTGTTCTCTGTGGGGAAGGATCAAGACAGGAAGAAGAGCCTAGACCCATTTCATTCTGTCCATCATTTCAATACTATATCATCAACAATACCACTTGCCTTCAACAGACTGAGAAGCATGAGAATATGTACAAAGGGAACCTTTCATGAGGACTCACTTTAGCCTAAGGCCATTTGTCCCTTGAAGTGTTCTGTTACTTTGGTTTGGGTTTTTTGTTTGCTTTTGAATCAATTTAAGTTCCTATCCTAAAATCAGGAATTTAATTTAGGCTCTCTGAATTGCATTCTGCAGGAACCTTTCACTTCTCAGATGACTGCAGGGAAGCCCAGGGAGACAAACTTCATTAGGTTAAAATTAATGTTTTTTTATATAATGTTTTTCCTGAAGTGACTTGCTTCAGATTACCTCCCAAAAAATTTGCTTGGGGCAGTGGAAGGAATAGTAAGCTAAAGAAATACAGCTTCTATCCTTCTCTTAATTCTCAATTATATTGCCTAAGAAACTAAATTCTTAAGAATTAAAATCTTAATTCACTTTATTAATGTTCTCTTCTATCCAAATCCTAAGCTGCAGTAATTAGGAAATCATCTTCCCAATATTTTTTCTCACAGATGAAAAGAAATGAGAGAAATAGAAAGCTAGAACTTAGAACTAGAGTTTCTACGCTTTCTAGAAACCTTTAATGTATGTTCCACTCATCTTTTTTCACATCTTCCCTTCATTTCTTCTTTACACCCAGAAACTGACTACAAACAAGTAACAATTGCCAATATAGTTTAATAAACAAAATACATGCCCATACATATGAAAAAAAATATTTAAATCTATTTAATTAAATTAATATCAATGGTACTGTTTGATCTGTGCAAATAAGATGATGTCTGATTGTGTTGAAAATGTTTCCAAAGCATATAAATATTTTTTTCTAACACATTTTTTGTTGTTAATTTTTCTTAGTTAGAACAATGTTTATTTGAATTTCCATAGCACTTAAAGACAACCTACAAATTAATTTTCTAAGTTTTCCCTCCAAGTGTTATGTTTTTAACCTTGTTGAAAACAGAAAAAGTATATTTTTACAGAACAAAGAGGATAAAGTTACTAAGTGAACATGCCATTTGTGTGTTTTTGTTAAAAGGAAATACTTAAATCTAAAGTTAGAGGCAGCTATGATTTTTTTCTAAAATTCTCATTATCTAGTTAAATCAGAAATTATTTTCTGAAGAAACAATGAAATCTAGAATATAAACAAACAGGGTAACTACAGTACTTTCCATAACAATTTATTTGCCAGCCTGGGTGAATGGCACCACACTTTTCTATCATACACAGAAAAAATCCACTTCAATTCTAAATATGTGTTAAGCATGCTTTTGAGCTGAGGTGAAGCAAAAAGCAAATTTGAACCACACAGCTTGTTTGGATCACAATCAGTAACTTAAGTGAACATACTGCAGAGCTTCATGAATATTCAGCTATAGAGTTACTAATGACATTATATCAGGGGTTTTGGCATTAAAAATGTAATTTTCTTCGTTTTTTGAAGCAGGATGGAGTAATGGAATTTATTTAGTTCACTCATTAGGTTCATACTCTGTCTTCATTTGTATTTCTTCAACTGTACCAACTCAAAAGTCAGGCATTAGTAAGTAACACAATTGTTTTAGTCAGGTTAATCTGCAAAGACAGGCAGTAGTTACTTGTTCACTTTACTCTCACAAAGATGCCCAGCTGCAGCTTTTATTGTGATGGGTTAATATTCCTGAGGAGGGTCTGAATATTGGAAATATGCTGAATATGCTTTGCACTGGTACATTATTTAATCTTATTAACTGACTAGAACATTAAATTTCACCCATTTAAAACATTATTTCATAGCACAAATGCAGCAGAAAATAATGGAACCATGTGCTTAAGAAAGTGAGGGATACAACAGTTCAGTTCTGACCCCCCCAAGGGATCTGGTTCTTCACTGTATAATGACACATCTTTCCTACAAATGTGTCCTACAAATATTTTGGGACAGATTGATTTTTTTGCTTGGTTTTTTTTTTTTTTTCATTTTAAGAACTCAGAGCATTCAAAATACTGTGAATGTAATTCTTCATCACTTTCCAATAAACACTTGCCAATAGAGCAAAGATCCATTATTGTGAAGAAGAAATGATCACTCCCAAATGCACTTAAGTGAAATTGGCCACTGGTCTTGCTTCTTCACCTGAACTGTTTATCAGATGTTGGTACTGTGGAATAAATCCTGCTTCAGGCGAGGTCCAATGATTAAATTCACTGCAGTAAAACTCATTGTGTTATCTAAAAGCAGTTGCCTCATTTCTTGCACTGCTAAACTAAATCCCACTTTTGTCACATAGCCGAAGCACACTGCACTTCCAGTCACCAAGAATGCAAAGTTACATCCTGAGCTTTATGAACATCCATCTAGGTGGAGCATTCAGTTCAGTGGAATAGTGTTTGATAGTTATGGAAAAAGATATAGCTTTTTAGATATTAGTTAGGCAATCCAACAATATTTTTTATCTTCTACAAATATTTTTTTGGGTTTTCTTTCATATGCCCATGACCCCATGCATAATTTTTACAGAGCAGTTTAATTAAAATTGTTTATAAAACAGCATTTGTTTTAAAGACTAGCAAATGATCAACATATATGCTAATTAAGAAAAACAAAAGGCTGAAATATGCTAAAAATTGTCAGAATAACAACTGACATGTGCAACTCTCCTGTGTACAGGGCTCCTTACTCACTGCACTGGATGAGACCCACAAATGAGAAATTAGCCCAACTGTTTCAAATAACAGAAGTAAAATTTAAAATGCAAGCAGAAAGCTTATTACCTATCAGAGGAACTCAAGGTCTGGAATTCTCATGGTCAGCATAGTGCCTTGCAGCACAGGTGAAGAAAGGATAATGAATATTCAGCAGGCTGATGGCTGGAATGCTGTAGGCAGGAGCTTCCTGTTTTAAACATAAAGAAACAAATTTAATACTAGGTAGAATAGGGTGAGATTTTTTTGTTTATTCAAGCAAAATGAACAACTCTTCCAAACGGATGATGAGCCAAAGAAAGAAAACAGAATGTTAGCACAGGTTAATTTCTTTCAAATAATCACAGAATAAAAAACCAGTGAGTAACAGAAACAAAGTGTGCAGTCAGCTTGCTTTAGAGCAAATGAGATCCCATTCTGCCATTCTTTATTGGAGTTTATTTGACAAAAAGGATCTCTAGAAACTTCTGAAGTGAGCTGAAGGAAGACAGAAGGGGAGTTCTTTAACAGGATCACAAGATCTTATTTTGAGAGCATCTGTTTAGTGCTGCTGGTTTTCCCAATGTTATTTTAAAAAAAGGAGAACAAAAATACTCCTCATCCATAAACCAAATATCTGCATACTCCAAATCTTCAGAGAAAGATAGCAGTATTTTGCTATATATTAAAAAACCAAGCAAAGCCCTAAACCTATGATGGGTGACATAAAGGGCACATAAAGTAGTGAGTCCCAGTAAGCAGCATTCATGATGTGGAACTCCTAGAGTTTCATCAGCCTTAGAGCTTGTCTGGTGACCTTGAACATACACAAAAGGACATAAATGGAGGGGAAACCGCTTCAGATGCAAGGAAATTTTCAGGGAACAGATTTCTGAGCCCCAGCTGCCTTCTTTAAATGACCAGAAAGCAGATAAGGGCTGCTGTCTCTGGGTATTACTTTATTCTCCCTGGCTGAACTTCAAAACATCTGTTGCATAAGGAAAGTCTAATTAGAATGGTTGCCTCTACCCGGATGGCTGACATTTACTTGCCATGGGAAGAACCTGTCCACTAACAACATTCCCATGAACCTGACTGACATGCCTAAAGAGCAGGCTGAGCAGAGTCTATAGCCTGTTCCCAAAGAGTGCAGAAACCTCAAGTCTTTTCGTTTTAGGCATTGCAGCCTGGATGGAAAAATCTGCAAAATAGATGAGGGTGTGTGTTACAAACTAACAGTGCTCCGCACCACTTTGGAAAGCAGACAAACATATGGACTGCCACCAACTATTAGAACTTGGTGTGAAATCACAGGAGTTATCAGCCTGCAGCTTTCACGATCTGTTACACAGATATTTATGAACTTTTTTCCAAAATAAAGATAGCAGTGCACAAACAGACCATTTAGTGACCTGTGTCTCCCTACATTAAAAAATGGGTTGTTTCTAAGCAGCTGAGCTATCAAAACCTGTTCTTTGGGTATTTTATTTTGATGATTTTGAGTCTTATCTCCCTCATAGCAAGCTTACATGTCTCCTAGTCTCCTACCAGTCTGGAGAGCCAAGAGACAGCATTTGCTGTGCCTGATTTTAAGCTTCACACATGCCAGGTTGCCAGCTGGCAGATTAAAGAGAATCAGTGATAATTTCAGCTCATAGTGGAGCCTTTCCTCCTAGCAGCACTAAGCTGGGTCTGTCCTCTCTTACCAAACCACTGATTTTCACTTGTAAGAGTGTAATACTTTTGCAATCCTCTCCTGCCAAATTCAACAAGTCGGACAAGTTCAAAGGGTACTGGGAGGGAATGAAGGGAGGGCAGAGAAGAAGGGGGAAAGACAGCTGGCTGAAAACCAGAGTAACAGCATAAGTTTTAGTCCAAGGAAAACAATACCAAAAATAGATTTTGGAAAGAATAAATGCATAGCTAACGCTTAAAGAAGGCTATTTGACAAAATAAAGAGAAATTTGTCTCTAAACAATAGCCATGTAATACTTTTTCCTCTAGAAAGAAGCTTATGTAGCTAATGTTGTGTGTTCAAGTCTCCCTCTTCCTCCTGCACTGCCATAAGCTGTTGATGAGTTTCAAGCTAAGCTGATGCAGGAATTGGCAGATATCAGGAAGTTTGTATTTCCATGGCAGATGCAAATTCACATGTACAGCTTCTGAAACAGAGACTATATACAATAGCTTAGAAATACAGAATAAAGTGGTGTCCTAACACCTGTGGTGAGGGTGCTATAGACAGAGTTCTAAGGGAAACCAGGTTTGTTTCAAGTATTTGACAGCATCATGAAAAATAAAAGCCACAGTTTTTAAGTTCCACATATCTCCTCTGTTGTCTTCTCCCCTTCCCCAAGTAAATCATTCATGTGATCACATATTCTCAACATTAAAATTACAATATTGTAAGTGAAGAGCAGATATGCTGGTTTTACAGGCACACAATGTGCAGCCACAGAAACACCTCCCAAGCTTGACATAAAATGGTAACTTTTGGAATTTTAATCACACAGGACTTTAATAAACAAGTATCAATAAATATTTATGGATCTAACATTTGGACTCCCCTATTAGACCTGGGGAAAAAAACAAAACAAAACAAAACCAAGCAAGAACCAACAAACCAAACCCACAAGCAGTGCTGTTGACATTCTTGTTTAAGGATAAACGCAGGTAACTGTCCAGTACTCCATGTGGAACTGTTGAGTAGGAAAGTAAACAAAGAATCCCCACAGAGGTTGAGAAAGACACATGCTTCCACAGTCACTGGAGTTTGTGCAACTGTAAAGCTACAAATTGTCACATTTTTCAACACTTGAAACCAAAATAGAAACATTACAATTAAATCCCAAAGATCAATGAATCAAGATTTGTTATAGAAAAATACTGTACTGAGATTGCAAATACAAGCTAGTAGAAATGAGAGGGGTACAACTATGTATGCAACATTGCAACCCTTATTTTGAGAAAAACTGTGATCCATGTACATGGCAGTAGTTTATCCAGCTTTTTTGAAAAATAAAAAAATCCCAAATGTACTTAGAGGTATGGCAGAATTTAAGTGGGCCTTCAAACTACAGAGTATCATAGTTGCCTCTAAGAATCAATTTGTCTACATATTTTTAACACCCTTGACAGAGCATTAATCAGTAAATAACAACTGAAACAAAAATTAAAAATATGTGTCTCTACCACTGAAACATTCTTGATATCAGACCTCTCAACTGGACTTCTAGGAGTATGTTAAAGAAGATACTTGAAACAATTATGAGACCATTGTGGATTACCATATGCTAATTGACCTGCACACTGTTCTGCAGTTTGAGCCAATCTCATTTGAAACTTAGGGTTCCTCAAGCTAACTGAAATAAAGAGAAACAGGTATTTTGCTTTCAAACAAAGCCTCAATTTCTCCAAGTCTTTCCTCTAACATTCCTCAGGAGACAAGAGAACAAGGCATAGAAATGTCTGAGGAAACAATTCAATTCCATAACCAAACTTACAGTTGCCAGAATAACATGCTTTCATCTGCTTGCTATGTTTTATGAAGGAAGTTGCATTTCCTGCTCTCTTTGAGAAGCAACTGAATGTTCAAGGCTTTGAGCCCCACAGAGATGCTAAAGATTCCATTAGCTACTATTTAATTTCTTTTCTTTTGGATAGCAGTGTTCCCATAACAGCCTCAGGAACAAGGACATTTTACACTGACCACTGGGATGTTACAGGGAGAAAAATCTACATGGGCTGATGCAGTCTGTAAGCTGATTCTCACACTTGCTATCATGGGACTGAAGGAATTTAGAGAAAGGTCAACATTTTCAGCAGCCTGTCTTGCAGAGAAATGGGAACTTGGTCCAAATATTCAACATACAAGTAATGAAGAAGCAACTAAATTCAGTAGGGACCCAACTGCTCTGTTTGACCCAGCCAGTTTGGGATTCACACAGCTGGGACACATTTTTATCTCAGGTGACACCACAGGGCACCTGGAACTATGCAGCAACTCTGCTTTCAACACACTGAGCACCTCTGTCACATTGTCAGTCCCATAAGCTCCCTGTCCAGGAAAGGGCTGGTAATGCACTGTGGCAGTTTGTACATCATTTTTGATATTTTTATTGCTATAGCAACTGAGTGTAGGCATTTAAACATAGCAACAGACTTTTTATAGCGCTTTCTTGGATGTCAAAATGGCACGTTGTTTTATTTTCCAAGCAGATGCTCAGAAGATAAGTACACAGGATGATTGTACAGTACTCACCTTCAAAAGGAAGTAAAAACCTCTCAGCTTCACAACTTCTGAATCATATAAGCTGACAGATGAGTGTAAGATACATTGTGAGTTGCAAGGCTTTTGTTTTGAGTTTAAGAGACTTTGTTCTGAGAAAACCTGTCACCAACTACTACCTAAGAATAAAATTAGGTGCAAAACTTGGTGGGCCTGTGCCCATTTTGTAAAAAGCTGTACAAGAAACCTACCAAGTCCTGCTCTGAAGGGAAAAATGTCCATCAACTCTGATCTTTGCCTGCTAAGCAACAGAAAAAAGGAAATTGTCCTCATATTAAGTGGAGCCAGATTCTCAGGAGCAATCAAAAGTCCGCTGAGACAGACCCATAGGTCATGCACATGGCAAAGCTCCACACAATCCAAACAGCAACAGTGATTTACAAGAAGAGAGTTTGACTTGCTAGATGGTTTAAGGAAATACAACTCATTATTTTCATAATAAGAATAATAGAATAATTAGGGCAGGGAGGGACCTCTGGAGACCATCCTGTCCAATCTCCCTGCCAAAGCACTGCCTGGAGCAGTGACATAGGAACACATTCAGGTAGGTTTTGAATATGTCTGGAGAGACTCCACCATTTCCTTGGACAGCCTGTCCCAGTGCTCTGACACCCACAATGTAAAGTTTTTTCTCATGTTGAGATGGAACTTCCTGTGTTTTAGTTTATGGCCATTGCTCCTCATCCTGCCCCTGGGCATCACTGAAAAGTGTCTGGCACCATCCTCTTAGCCCACCTTTGAGATATTTATAAGCATTAATGAGATCCCCTCTCAGCTTTCTCTCAACTAACCAGGCCCAGCTCCAGCCTCTCCTCATTAGAGAGATGCCCCAGACCCCTCATCCTCTTTGTGGCCTCGGCTGGACCCTCTCCAGTGGCTTCTTGTCTCTCTTGTCCTGAGGAGCCCAGAACTGGACACAGCCC